TCGCTCCCGACGTTATTCACACCATAGTTTTCAAAATTAGGGAAATATTGTCCGCAAGAGCCACTTCTCTTATGTTCTTCTTCATGGAGAAGAGACTCATATCTAACAGCGCATGACATCAATTGAAACAAATCCGAAAACTCCCTATCTTGAAAATTCTTACGAAGTTCAAAATTCAATCCACCCTGGGCCAGTTTAACAAACTCGCGTTCTGTCAAGTTTACAAAACAGCGATTCCTTGCATTTTTAAAGTTAGTTAAGAAGTGTTCCACTGTTTCTCCTGGCTGTTGGGGCATTCGTGCCAAGTCTGCCATGGTTACTTCTGGCTCAGAACGGTAGAACTGGGCATGGAACATTTGTTCCATTTGCTGCCAAGTTTGAACCGAGTTCGATGGCAAGTTGACGTACCACGCGAACGCGGGACCGGTCAACGAGTTGCCAAACAAACGCAACTTCAAGAAATCACTCACATCACCACACTAAACCGTGAATCGTCCAACATGCTCGACGGTGGACTGATCCCCAGTCCCGCTGAAGGTGATGAAATCAGGCACGCGAAAACCACGTGGAAAGGGGTAGTATCTATCAACCCAATCCAGATATGGTTTTCGATACACCGGCGGCATCGCTGGTCTAATCCCTAAACCAAACTGATCCGCCAGCATCTGTGCTACCTGATCCCGAATCACATTAACGTCTTGCCCCCCGAGTTGCCCCCCCTTGTGGTACGAATCCACCAGGATCCATGCCAAGCCCGTTTGGAGGAGGCACGTTTTGTGGGTAGCCGCGTGGCGGAATATGATCATTGTTGATCATTCCTCCACCACCAGCACCGCTCATCAGAGCCACGTAGGGTCTGGCCTCCGGAATATTTTTTGGACCCACATTGTGCACTGGTGGCGGCTCAACACGAGTGTTAGCCGCAGTTCTGGTCTCGCCAGGATTTACTCTCGACGGACTTGTTGGGTTCACCACCGGTGTCGGCGAAACGCCCTGTCTCGGCTGAGTATCTCGGCCGCCATTGACCGTAAAGGTGCCAGTGTCGTAGTGTAACGGATTCTCGCCGCTTAACAGCAAAGCCCTTGTTTGCGGCACTGGCCTATTCAAAAACTCTCTAAAGTCATTAAAATCACGTCTGTTACTTTCAAAATCCATTCTGTTTTTATCTACAAATTTAACCAGTTGGCTAACACGTCTATCAATCCGAGAACTAAGACCATCAAGACGTCCATCCAAAGAGGCTAAGTGAAGTTTTACCTGTTGGTTATCAGCCATGACTTGGCGAAGCATGCGTGTTACCTCACCCTGGTTGGCAGTTTGCGCCACTGCTGGCACTTCCCCTCCGGCGTCGTTGCTCGAACCGCCGTTTGAACCGCCACTCTGGTCAGTCTCTACATTGACCATTGGCTCTTCCTCCACTGAAGTTGGTGGAAGATCGCCCTCGTGATTCTTCCGTCGCGGAGCCATTCGAACACAAGGGTCCCACCGGGCGTGCCAATTTGTTTCGTTGGCGAAACTCACGTGTTCGATGCGCACTCTACTCAAGTAAGCACAAACACAAAATCAGCGAAAATCTTCAAATATCCGCCGCCGAATGTCGGCGTCGTTGATTTGATCGATTAAAAGAGAAACAAAGACGACCGTCAAATATCCGCAGCCGGTGTCGGCGTCGTTGATTTGATCGATACACCCTTGACTTCTAATCAAACAACCGTTATTCGGTTCACCACCTCTCCAAACTACGTTCGAACGAGGGTGTTCGGCGAATAACCAGAAAATCGAACCAGGAGTGTTCTAAGTTACGTTACCTCTACTCCTATGGAGGTTCCTCTGGAGAGCTCCGCAACTACGACTACGATCTACAACTACTACTGCTCTGCAAAGGAGGTCTTCGACAGAGAAGTTCTACGAACTAGAGAGAAAAAGATAGATTCTGCAATGGTGCAGTTGTGATTTAATTTTGCCTTCCCGAACTTCTCTCTCTTCCCAATCTTTATACTTCGCGCTTCTTCTCGTCGTAGTAACTGCCTTCGCACCTTTGTCTCCCACGTCTTCACTCCTGTCAACCGTGCAGGTAACTTCCTCCTTGTTGTGTGATAATCACGTGCCCTCGAAACCGCTCTTGCTTTGCAGAAACCTGCAGAAACTCGGCGAAACGACCTACAACCTTGTCCATGTAACGATGCCGTTTCACCAACACCGCGGCATCGCCTTTCACCAACCGGTGTCGTTTTATAATCAAACTCAACTGCCCCGACCCGGTTTAACCAACGACATTGTTAGTCCATCAAACAACGTTGTTCTCTACTCTTGCGCCATCGTTGGGCTTGGCGGGCTGCCTTTGGCTGAACTCTCACCACTACCACGATGTCGTTTTACTTTTCCGCGGCATCACTTTCATTAAACGACACCGTCTAAAATAATAATAAAATACTAATTAATTAGACCAGCCCTCATTGTTAACTCGTCGTCGAACTTTCACCCCTCAGCGTCGTTCTTAGTTAAACAACATCGTTTTCTAGTTCTGCGATGCTGTTGAGCTTTTGAGCTTCGCGATACTGTTTTAATTTTAACACTGTCGTTTTAACTGTTGCGGCATCGTTTGCCCTACTCGCGGCATTGTTTTATAATCCGCGGTGTCGTTTCTTTCCTCTTGCGGCATCATTTTCAACTAAACGACACCGTCCTAAACAGCCATTAAAATATTAATTAATTAATCCGTCCATCACTAGCTATGGCCAACGACATCACTAGCGCCAAAACGGCTCCGTTTGTTTTTCCTTTTGCGACATTGTTTTTTATTTTAAACACTGTCGTTTGCTAGTATAGCGGTACCGTTGGGCTTCCTCGCGGTACCGTTTTTTAATTCCGCGGCAACGTTTTAGCTCTCCGCGGTGCCGCTTCTCCCCATCCAATAAGGAATAAAAATAAAAATAAATAATAATAATAAACTCCTTTTCGAACACCAATACCAAAAACGCGCGGCCCCCTCTTATTTTCCGGCGGTGTCGTTTTCTGTGTCGCGGTACCGCTGAACTTCCTTGCGGTACCGCTTTTCTGTTTCGCGGTTTCGTTTTAACTCTCCGCGATGCCGCTTGTCTCCACGCGGTACCGATTTTCCCCTTCCGACAAGGAATAAAGATAATAATTAATTAGAGAAAAAACTCCTTCTCAAACATCCAACTAAACGCGCGGCCCCCTTTTGTTTCCGGTAAGCGGTGTCGTTTCCAGTGCCGTGGTACCGCTGAACTTCCTCGCGGTACCATTTTTCTATTTTGCGGAACCGTTTTAATTCTCCGCGACACCGGTCAACTTCAAACGACACCGTTTTTTATCCGCGGTATTGAATTAAATGCCGAAACTAATTAATGCGGCATTTAATTCAGGACAAATTAATTTTAGGGGTCAATAGAAACTCACACTTAAGTTTATATCTCAACTAGTATTTGCAAGTTGCAACAAGGGCACGGTCGATGTGTCCATGTCTTTTTTCGCAATACGATGATGTGGCTCACGTTTGACTCACAATACTAGTTAAGATAGAAGGGGGCAAAACAGTACGAAATCAATTAAATTCATTCACAAAAGCTCAAGTAATGGCACTTCATAAAGAGAATGGATGCAATGTGATGGTTAATGAAGCCTCGACATTAGCATAATTTCACAAACCCTACAATTGTATGGGTATCTAAGTAGTGGCGAAGTCAGGTTGTAAAACTAGGTGTGTCCTCTTTTTAAAATATAAAAATATAAATAATTATATAATAATTAAAATTGAATGGAAACTAGCGGACTAGAAAAGAGAGAGCCTAGTAGCAGAGGCTTCTGTTTAGACTTCATAGTTTTTGGACAAAATTGAATAGGATAATTGGAAAAAATAACGCAAATAGAGATTTATTTCAATTGAAGATTTTATTTATAGCGTATAAATTAATTTTATATCAATCAAATAACAGAACTTGAGCTTCATTGTAATGGTAAAATATTTTTTATACTATATCAACGTGATGAATTTGAATATTTTTATCCCTTACATAAATATATATAAGGATGTCTTAATTTTTTACCAAAACTTAACTGTGTCCTGGGATCATGGTTCAAAAAGGCACGCTTAACCTTACGTTTAGGCGTGACAAAACGCATCGCCTAGGGATTTCATGCCTAACTAGATACAAGTACACGTCAATGGAGTAAGGCGACATATAAGTCTCTCTTAAACATTACTAGATGGAGTTAGGAAGTCAATACTAAAGGAGAATATTAACATCAAATATGGAATCAATTTTATATATCATTATTTTCAATAGCTTAGGAACTTCGTGAGTTATTGAGCTATTATTCTATGAATTTGTGAGCTATGTTCTTATCATTAAGTGTTGAGTAAGTTATTAATCATTTTAACTGAAGTGGGGAAGTGTTGTAGATTATTATTTCATTCATCATGCAGTGCGAATAAATATTTTTCTTCCAACGCCTAGACACGCTTAGTCAACGCCTAGGGGAACTAGGCGCTAGGCAAAGACTAAATGTCCGCCTTATGTCTAGCGCCTTTTTGAACCTTGCCAGATACACATCCCAAACCCTCTCCCTCCGCCTATGTCTCTAAGATAAAACAATTACATTAGACTGATGGAAATAAATGTCATAAGTAATGAGAGCAGTAAACATTGTAACAAAAACATGATTTCACAAATCATACATGATGCTTAAGACAAAATTCGATACAAAATAGAATGGATCAAGAACACTAATCAACAAAATATCAAGAACTATTTCATGTCAAAATAACTCGCTCATGTGAACCAAAATCACACATTCATTCATTATCAGTTGTCACACATCAGTCTTCCATGATGAAACAACTCAATTTTCTATATACTAACTTGGGGTTTACAAGAAAAATCACAAGAATTACACAAGGCAAAATAATGTTGGGAGGAAAGGGCTAACAACAAAGTAACAATGTGGGAGAGGGGATAATCAGCTGAGCAGTACCCCCATCAGAAGATATCCAGGATCTCCAAGATCGGACGGTTGCAAACGGGGCAACCACCCCTATGGGCCCAAAGATCCCTCGAACAAACCCTACAGAAGGTATGACCGCAGGGGATAAACGCCGCGCCCTTATCCCTCTCCATGCACACGCAGCACAGCCAATCCCCGCCCTCCTCCTTCCTCTTGTCCGTTGCCGCTTCTCCACCTTCAACAACAATCTCATCCTCTCTCCTCCGCTTGCTCGTCGGCCAATCCGAGCCGTCCGTTTCCCCGATCAGCATCATCAACGTCTTGGAATCCGCGCCTCCGCCTCCCCGCGAATTCCGCTCCTCGGCCAGCGCCATCGCCAGGTTCATCCCGCTCGGCCTCGCCCCGATTAACTGCCGGAGCGTGATGGGCATCATCGGCTCTTCTTCCCGCTCGTCGTCGCCGGCCGTCTCTTCTTCTTCTTCTTCTTCGTCAGGGTCGGAGGGTATGACCCCTGGGCCGGCGATGGCCCAAGCGGCGGCGGCGCCACCGCAGCAGCCGCTTAAGCCCCTGAAAGTCAACCGTCGCTTCAGATTCCTCCACCCCGCCATTAATTGGTGAAAAGAAGCAGCCAAGCTGGAGGAGACACAGCGGAAGTGGAAACTGAAGCAATTTTGGAGAGGGTTGGGGGTTATTGTTATTTGTGAGGATGGCAGTGGGTGAAGAAGAGAGGGAAGCCGGTAGAGCGAGTGAGCGAGTGGCAATTGGCAGATTGGGAAGGAGCCAAAAATGGCGGAGAGGCAGGAGAGAAGAGGAGAGGAGGAAGTTTCAGTTTTATATTTATTTTATGGTTTTATTTTGTCTTCTGTTCTAAATTAAGGGGATTGCTATTCATCGCCCTAAAAAATGTTATTCGTCGCCCTAACTCTTAATCAATTTACCCTAATGTCCCTAGTTTATTTGTTGTTTTACAAACACAAACCTTATGACACAACCCACACCAAAACATCTTTTCCCGTCGCCGGAGTAAAAATAAACAGCCACAAAGCCAGAGATATTGAGGGGAAAATGAATAGCCATTCAGTTTTATAATCTAACTTTAAAATTTATTTGTTTTCACAATTAGTTCTCTCTCTAAAACCCAGAAAAATAAACAGTCAAATAGCCAGAGAGATTGAGGGAAAGATGAACTTCCAATCTCTCTTCTTCTTCCCATTTCTTCTTTCCCTTTCGATCACCTTCATGGCGGCGCAAATCTCGCCGGGATCCTCCCTCTCCGCCGTCGAGCTCAATGGGATGTGGGAATCACTCAAGTCGGACCCAACTCTTTTCTCGTCGGCGTCAACTACAACGTCGGAATCCCTATCTGCATAGCAGGCGGCGCCTCCGCTGTCGTCGACTCCGGCGGGGCCTTCCGCTTCACTCCCGCCGGGAGTCTCCTGCTAGTCAATGGTCTGACTGCACAAGGAGCAATAGTGACGAATGGGGGTGGGGGATTGGGTTGAGATGCGACGGGTAGTTGGTTGAGGATTTAGATTAGAAATGGAGGTTAGGGATAAATGTGTCAATTTAGTGTAATTTAGGGCGATAAAATTTGAATCTTAGGGCGACGAATAGCAAATCAGCTAAATTAAAGATCAATAGCTAAACAAGTCCATTTGATATGCAAAAATAGCAAACAAGCCCCAAGACAAATTATCTTGAATGGATTTGGTAAACAATGAGTCTGTCAAAAGAATCCATACAATTTCATGGATTGTCAACACTTTCAATTGGTTCTCCCACTAAATTTCCGTCAAAAGCGGATGATTTGGACATTTCAAATTCAAGTTAATACCGACTCAACATATTTTTTTTTCACCATATAGTAATGAGTTAGCGAGAATCGTGCTGATAGTTTCATTCTATTACTAACGAATCATAATACACACGAGGGCTTATCTGTTAAAAAAGTTGAGTGGGTTTGCTAGTTATCTTTGAGCATATTAGAGTGACTTGTTTAGCTATTAATCCTTAATTTATCCAAGGCAATGTTTGGCATTGGATTCAATTTGCAAGTATGATGAGCAACTGGAAAAAAGCTGGAAGGTGAAAGTGAAATATGATTCCTTACTTTGAGTACTTTTTGTTTCATAATTCATAAACATGAAAATGAAACCTCGTGGGACCTTTGTCTGTTTCTTTTTAGCTTTTATGGTTGAGATGGTTCAGCAGTTTGAAAGCATTAGGTAGAAGAACATTGTACCTGCTGCAAAGCTTCCTTAGCTACCCCTTCCACATTTTTTATTATTATCAAACTCAGCTTCATCCAGGGGCGGACCCAGGGAGATTTAGGGGTGTACCCGGACACCCCTAAATTTTAGGAAAACGATTATCCAACCCTCGGTGGTAATTTATGTATGGACAAAAATAATATAATTGATAGTGAGGGACACCCTTTAAATTTGAAAAAATGATTATCCTACTGTCATTTGTGTATAGGAATATAAGTGGTAGGTTGGATAATTCAAATCTAGAACACTATTATTATTAATAAACTTAATTTATGTTGAGATAAACTCATTTGTTGTTCGATTTTGAACAATGTGTAATAGTAAAATGACATTACCTATCTCTAATTATTTTAAAAACCTAACAATTAAACTAATTTCAAACTACTCTTAATTTGTATTGATTTTCTGATTGTACGGCAAGCGTTGAAAGAGTCTTTCAGCTTTGGGTTACATCAAGAACAAGTTTACAAATCGAATATGCGATAAGTTCGTGAATGATTGTCTAGCTAACAATGTATATAGAGACAATTTTTTTCACACTATAGACACCAAGTGTATTCTACAATTATTTCCGAATATGAAAACATATCATGGACTTTTTTAACCTATACGAGTAAGGTATTTTCATATTTACAATTTTAATTTTATCAATTATTTTAATTTTAATTTAATTTATTTTTTAAAAGAGGACACTACTATGAAAAATTTCTGGGTCCGCCACTGGCTTCATCATTGTGATCCATCGTGTACAAGACTGATAAGGTGTTGGATGATATATAACCCTCCATTTTGGACAAGTACAAACTTAAGCTAGATCAAAGAGACCATAAGGAGTTGTCAGACTTAAATTCCAGTCTTTGTAAACATTATCGCGTAACTAGTGTCACAAAGCGAGTAATTGCAAGGTTTGTTGATTTGCATGTTTATGATATATAAACTATGGCAATGTCTATTTTTTATCCAAACCTTTTTCAGATTCTTTTATTTTAACCAAACCTATAGAAATTCTATTTATTATCCAAACGTATTATAATTTATCAAAGTCTGGGCATTCATTCTGTTACCGTTACTTATTTCGTCCACGTGAGAGGTGGGATTTTGTTTTGTTTTTTTGATAATCTTTTTATTAAAAATAGTAAATGATGGTATTCTGACCGCCACGTAGGAAGTCACTCATTATGGTTATACTTAGTCAGCATTACTAACAGAAAAGTTGACGGAGAGTTAACGTTTGGATAATTTCTAGGAATTCAATAGGTTTTGTTAAAATAAAAGAATCTGAAAAAGATTTTGGTAAAAAATAGACATTGCCCTATAAACTAAACCAGTTAGATAGATGATTTGATCTTTGATTGATTACTTCCTTGTATGATTAGAACTTGTAAAGTAGTAGGTGGGAGATAGTTGACAACTTTAGCTTTGATGGTGATCGTTTATTCCATGTTGTACACCTACATCTAAACAAACACAATAAGGTCAAATCGTTTAGTGGGGAGTTGATTCCCTCCTAATTAATCGGCAAAAAAATGTATAAGTTTGGCAGAGGGATTCAAACTCTCTTTGGTCAAAGTAATATTCCAGTTGATTAGGTCCGGACAGGTCCAGGTCCAGACTCTGACCATGCCCACTAGAATCGTGTTCAAGTTCATATGTGAGCGCCGGAAAAAAAAAAAAAAGCAGGCGCCAAATTCAAATAAAAGTCTGTGAGACATGGTTTGCAGCTTGTAAAGAAGACAAAAAGAAAGAAAGAAAGAAAGAAAGGGAAAACAGACAGCAAAATCTTCCTCTTTAGAAAAAAAGCCACAACTCCCGGGGTGGATAACTGCAAATCTTCACCATTATCAAATCGCTAACTCCATCTGGGAAACAACAACCCCTCAGCTGTTTCCCGAGTTATTCACAGTTTCACATGCATATTAAACTCTTTCTTCGATCCCCAAAACTTCCGAATCATAAACAGAAAGAAAAGGGCAGTCCTGGCTAGGGATAACAACAAAATCCGAACCCATTGGTATCCATCCGACCCAACCCGGTCAACGCGGGTAAAACCCATGTTGATGAGTTTTAGACCGGATTCGGGTTTAAACCCGCTACATTATTCACCGGGTTGGGTTGAGTTTGTGTTTAGGTAAACCCGCCCCATGGGTACCCGCCTACACATATAATTACTTTCCCGGTATATTTAATATTCTAAATAATATATCTTTTTTAAACAACTAATATTATTTATGTTTGCGGAGACATATATAATTTGTTCTTTCTAATTGTTTAGAATGAAGTTGATATTATGGAATAGAGAGTGAAGAAACTTATTTGACGAGGAAGAAGATTTCAATTAATCCTGTTGCTTATAGATGTGTATCTTTAATTTTGAACAATTTGTATTGATCATTTGCGGTTTGCTTGTATGTTCTAGATTGGTGTTTTTTGTATGAATAATTTGTATGAGAAAATTGATGTTAAACTTTTATTTTGAAAGAAATTTGCTATTGTAAATTTTTTACCACAAAAACCCATAGGTACCCATGAACCCGCGGATACCCAGCGGGTTGGGTTGGGTTTGAGTTTTTCAAACCCAGCTGGTTTTCCCCGAGTTTTTTTGACGGATAAACCCATGGGTTTGGGTTTGACAAAACCCGCCCCAACCCGACCCATTGTCATCCCTTTAAATGTACATGATTACTATAACAATCAGCATGTGAAGAGTATGGATCTTTCCTTTTCCCAATTTCGAGTAGAATACAACACTAATGAAGTACATTTAAAGGGTAATGAATCTTTTGTTTACTGTTAAACCTTATGAACAATGATTCGATTGGGGGCCTACTGTCAATTTATGGGAGCCAGTGATCAAATGTACCTTTACCAAAGACAAAGAATCAAAAGTCGAAGCACGAAAGCTAACTCTTCGTGTTATTCCACACCAAGGAGTTGATGCTAAGCAGCCTACAAGAGGAATATCACTAATCAGAGAGTATCCTGTAGAAGTCTAACGCAATTGAATTTGTTACATGATAACTCAGATCAGTACGAATAGATAAAATGCACGCAGAACTTACAGAAATCGGCACCTTCCTCCCTCAAACTGGGCCTTGGGCGCTTTTACCGACAGCTGCAAAATCTGGCCACATTCTGTTTTGTACGAGGTCAACTGGACGTCAACACCTCTCTGGACTTGAACCTTGATCTTTTGTGGTGCAATTGGCACTTCACAAACAAGTCTTTACAACTGTAACTAATTTAAGCAACTCAATTTAACTTCAATCATTGCATGTCAGCACGTCCTGTGAAAAAACAGTTTTAACTTAAATCAGCTTGCATTAGATAGAGTCAACAACTACAACTGCAATATTAAGGGGAGAATGGAAACAAGCAGGGAGTTCACCAAGGGTGACGCGATGCTGCCTTGCTACCATCAGGCTAGAAGCCCTTCGGTAGACTAATTATCTATGATAGAATGTTAAATTTATTAATATCACTCATCTTGGCAAGTTTAACTAGAGTTTAGAGACACGACATACCATCAATTTTAAAATTTACTATAACCCACTTCTAGCATCAGATGGCGATAGCTACGACCACGTATTAACCGTTGCCACAAGAACTGGAACGAGGACCCGAAATCCATTTGCATCTTCTCCTTCACAAGCCTGTACAGTCGGATTGTATGTAGTAAAACCATTTTAGCAAAACACTTGTCCAACAATGGAAATTGATGCGAAAAAGAACAGACTCCCCAACTTACCATCTTGCTAGACACCGTTGAATTCCTCTAGATATGGGTCGAATGAAGGATGGTTCACGCTGAGCGTATAACAAGCCAACCTCAATCAATGCCCCTGTGCATGGATCATCCAGAATCTCCAAGCTACAATCAGCTAGATAATTAACCTGCAAGTACCAACTTGGAATAAAGTTCCTTTTTTCTGGTTTTGATGTGGAGGTTTTCGGTTGGAATAAAGTTCCTTAGAAAGGGATAATGTGCTTAAATCTCGAAAACATGTAGATGGTGTCAATTTACACGATGTTGAACACACCAAGTAAACAAAGAATAGGAGTCACTTCACACAGGACTGAGTCAGGCCGTGAACACATTTAAATCCAAATCGGATGGGGGAACGGATATTAGTACAATCCGGTTTCCATTCCATAGAAACTCTTAAAATTAAGGAAAATGCAGACTGCATCAAACTGGACAAAACCAAATGTACTTTTGATTTTACTTTGGTCCTCATTTTTCCATTACTTATGATCCAATTCCATATCGTTTTGGTCAGATTCTAGACTGGACCATCACCACCTAACAGCAAGTTATGTGTAATTCATTTTGATTACATATAATAAAACGTTCATTAATGAGACCAGACCACAGGGCATAAATGTAAACCCTGTCAACCATAAAGCACAATGTCAATTTAACGAGTTCAGAATGTCATAAAAGCCACGTACCCCAAATTCAGTGTTTGCTAACGTCTGGATAAAATCCATGAGTTGAAGCTTGGCCCAATTGGAGGACCGAATAGGATCATCTCTTTGAGGAGGATGCCTCCAAGAAGAGCCAAATCGCAGCTTATCTTTTGGAATTTTTCCCTTTCTTGCATCCTCGGCAAACTTCTGGAGGATCGCAATGGCTTTATCCATTGCAGGATTTACAACAATTATCTAATTAAAGAAAGAAAAAGATAGCCTCAGTCTCATGCAAAGCGAAACAGGGTTACAAATTAAAATTTGAAAAAGGAAACTACAATGAAAAACGAAATAAGACTCACCTGTAGATAAGCTAAATATGCATCAATGATATCCTCGAATGTGTTATCCTTGTCCTCCAGTACCCTGCAACAAAAACCCAGATAAGAAGCCATACGGAAATTTCTATCACCATCAAGAGATTTCTTCTATGACTATCCTTGCAGGACCAGGATTTGGTTCGTCCCGATGAAGATGGTAAAACTTTCTGACCCTTTGAAGAATACCATGAGACTGCCTAAGATATTCGAGGTGCAACTAAGATACTAAATTGGACTGCTCTGATTACTGAAAAACATATCAAAATGAACAAGGTTTATATCTAGACATGATCCATTAGAGAACCTTATGCCAACAAAACATACATGTTCTTACTTCTGGTAATAGCTGCTTTGCTTGAGTGCATAAAGTTCAAAAAGATGCCTAGGGCTTGGCCCAAGCACTTCAACTATCATTTTCCACTACAAATCAACAAGATCAGAACTCCAATTAGTGAAACCAAAATATATTAGCAACATCAGATGCATCCAAGGCAAAATTTTCATATGTTCTTCAAGAGGGAGATTTAGACTACTATTTCTATCTTCTTAAAGATAAATCACAACTTTCTGTTCGGACAAGGCTCGTCTAGACAAGCAAACAGGGTTGAGGAAATTGTACCTCTGATTGACTGAAGTAGTCTGCAATCATGTGCAATTCAGCCTCCCTTGGAGTCCAACCAAAGGTCTGGAGAGAAATGAAATTTTACATAAGCAAGGCCGTCACCTGAATCCCCCAATAGACATGCATGCCCTAACATGTGGATTCATTTCATGAGAATTACTTCCAGTATACATGCACGAGAACAGTAATGAATTTGTTGGCATGTTTTTAACACAAAACTAAACCAAAAGGGTATCACCAGTGAAATTCAAATCACTGAGTGCTTTCATCTTGGTAACGATTGAGATCGATAGCAAATAAATCACAAGATCCTATTTTTACATGAGATAAATAAACTACTATTTTGAGTTGGGGTTGCTAAAAAAGATGAGTGCTTTCATCACAGTAACCAGATGAATCTCAAGCCCAATGGATGTTCTCGATCAGACTAACATATGAAATAAATGCAGCAGCAGTTTCAGTACCTCTCTAGAGATAAATATATCTGGAAAACCGAAATCCATGAAAGCCCTGTAAGAATAGTAGCTGCAGAACAAGTCTTTCATTAGAATTATCATTACAAATCAGTCAACAACGAGCATACATTTCGTTTCAATTGCAGATGCATGTAGAATGATACCCATTTCAAACCATTTTCACTTTACCAGTGAAGCAGCACTTGGGAAAACAATACACCCAGTTGAAACAGAATGTTGGACATTAGTTAATAAATACAGAAAACCAACCTATCAGAAGTCACAAGCATAACGGGAAGACACTTCTCATTGGCACCCAAAGCAATGATTCTCCATATCAGACTGTCATGATACATTGATCCAGACACCATCTTATCATCATTTAACAAAGCATTTTTCAGCACCTCGATATTGTTTATCACCAGCTTCGGCTGCAAACCGAAGCACTAATCAATACATCAACCGACATATATTAACCCAATTCAATGAACAACTGTGGCTCCCACTCTAATATTTTACCTGAAAGTAATCAATCTCGGCAGCTTGTGACAACAACTCAAGCAACAAACATGGCCAATCCGTGCAAGAATTCGCCAGCGACCTAGAGAACCCACCAGTCCGATTCAATTGAGCAATGGCATTACCTCTCGAACTCTGCATCGCCCTAATAACCTCCTTCGCCAATCTCAGCGCAACCAAGGCTTCCCTGTAGTAAGAAGTCTCATCAACAGACAACTTTCTCTTCCCCTTCTCTCCCAAGTTCAATAATTTATCCATCTCCCTTGCATTTGATCGAGCACTTAGCGCGAACACTGCCCGGTCCCATAGAACTGACCCGAAAACCTTTTCAGAAACTGCATTTTTCGATTTGGAAGCAACGCCGGCGCTATTCTGGACTATAATCCGGCGAAGCGCGGTGTCAGGAAGGTGCCATTTGCTGACAATGGAGAAGATTTGAGTGGAGGAAATGCTGCCGAGCTGAATCGCTTTCTGGGCCATGGATTCAAGGCAACTCTCCAACTGGGTCGCGCAATCGGCGACAACCGGCGGGTTGCAGGTTGACCATGAACCCCATGGAAAAGAATTTCCGTGCTTCGGGTGATGATCCTTCACAGATTCAGCGAAATCTACATAGCCGGTGACGTGGGGACCTTTGTTCCAATCGTTCAAGAGACCTGCAAGAGGAACACAGCAAAGAAATGGAATCATCATTAATTTGCTACGGAATCAGCCAAAATGGAGGGGGAGAATCCGCCGGAGTTTTCTCACGGTCAATGATGAGGGTGGTTTTGCCGACGCCGCGAGGGCCGTGTAGGATGAGAGGCTGCTGAACTCGGTGGTGCTGAGCGTGGTTGTTCAGGATTGTTTCCAGCAATGGCCGCGGGATTATCCTCCATGGTTTGCTCACCATCTTTGTGCTCTTCACGTCTGGTGAATTGGTTCTTCTATTTTGTCGCGTCGGTTTCAGCTGGTGGATCGGAGATGGGGTTTTACGGAGGAAGGAGGGGGAGCTCGGAAAAGAATGGCGCTTAGCTTAGGGGTTTAGACGCCGGAGGTCAGCTGACAAATCAACTCGGGTCAGAGGTGGGAGTATTTTCGGGTCGCAACCGGCTCGTTCTCCTTGTTCGGCCCACATTGAATGAGGTATGGGCTTTAGGACTTAGGAGTGTCTTGTTCTCTGTCCAGTTAATGTTCTCGGTAGTTGCATCGTTGGCGAGGAGGCACATAAGATGTGACTAGGCCCTAGGGTTAGGGTGTCAATCGAGCGGGTTCAGAGGATTCGGGTTGGGCTCAATAGGGTTAAGAGTTCATCTTATTGCGGGTTAGTTGTGATTGTGTCATTCGGATTAAAGGTCAGTTCGGTTGTAGATTGGTTGATTTACAGGTCGAGCGGGTTATGGGCTGTTTTGGTTTGTGCATTGTATTACTTACTCTTTACTCGTTACAATTCACTCTTTATTTATTACATTAATAACATTTATGCTATTTTTAGACAACCTATTTTTATATCATTTGTGTACTTACAAAAGTTTTTTTCAGAAGTACCTATAAAAGTTTTAAAAAAAAATTGTTAAAGTGCTAAATTAATTTTAGGGTAAATTGCAAGTTTGGTCACTGGGACTACTAAAAAAATTGGGTAAATGCCACATTTAGTCACTAGGATTACTAAATCGTGTTATGTTTAGTCATTAAAAAAAATTAATATCAATTTTGGTCACTCGAATTACTAAAACATGTCACATTTAGTCACTCTCGCGTTCGCCTCCGTCCAACTCCGGTCACTCGAATTACTTTTATTCTTATGAGTGTTACTCGAATTACTAAAACATGTCACATCTAGTTACTATTCGTTAGCCTCCGTCCAACTCTGTTAATGGAGTTGGATGGAAACTAACGGGAGAGTGACTAAATGTGACATGTTTCAGTAATTCCAGTGACCAAAATTTATATTAACTTTTTCTGGTGACTAAACATGACATGATTTAGTAATCTCAGTGACCAAATGTGGCATTTACCCAAAAAAAATTATATTTGCCATTAAAAAATATTATATTCCATTTATGGTCACTGAAATTAGTTTAACAATCCAAATATGGTCATTGGCCGTCCATCTCTATTAAAGTTAGCTTATGTGGCAGTCAATGATTATAGCTGACTATTAAATAAGTGACGTGAAAAGTTAATCTTTTACAATTTCCACATGTAACTAATAAAATTTATAACTGTTTTGGCTGCCTGTTTATAACTTTCATAACATTGTTTGTTGGCTCTAAGTGAACCCGCCAATGTGAGTTATACAGAAGCTTAGTTTGGCCCTGCTGTAGCTTTTGCAGAAGCAGCTTCTGGCTGGAGCTTTTAGATAAGTACTTTTCAAAAAAAGCAGTTTAGTGTTTGGCTGTAAAACTATTAGAAGTGCTTTTTAATATGAGCGGTTGTGTAAAATGACTATAAAGGACTTATAATATAAAATATAAATAAAAATTCGAAACAATAAAAAGTAGTCAAAATGGATCTTGTTAGATTTCTTTTATATTAAATAATATGATTTTATAATTTATTTTATTTTTAAAATGATATAAATGAAGGAAAATTATATTTTCTGAAATAAAATTAAAATATGGTAAGGATAATCTTGTATTTTCAAAACAGCTTTTCGCAGAAGCTCCAAATCGGAGCTTCTGCTTTTATGTTATACAAAAGCGCTTTTCGGCTTTTCAAAAGCCGAGCTTTTAGAGGTGTTTGGCCCTGCTTAAGCTTTTGAAGCCGAAAAGCACTTCTAAAAGCCGGGCCAAACATAGGCAGAGTTACGTTAAGGACTTCTAAGCAACGACTATTAAACAGTAAAAGGAAACTAACTAATTAAACTATCCACTCATGACCAACCACGTGTCTTAGCTTAACTAATTACACTGTTTGAGTCTTCAGTGGCTAAACGTCGATGTTCCTTCTTTGTTGTAAACGGATCAAGGAAAACGGTGGTGTTCTGAGCTCACCATTAGTTGAAGACACAACACCACCGTTTCATTCACATATTTATATCATTGATATGTTCGTCGATTTCATCCTTTCACAACACTACAACAGCAACTCCTTATTCTTCAAGTCATTCATTGTGCACACTGCTGCTGCATCAGGCTTGGTCCTGTTCTCCAATAAGAACAAGTTGTGGTTCAAGTACCACTAAGAGAACCATTGCTAAAACACTTAATTCAAACCAAAAAGTATGTAAAATATGAAAACCAAATCATCATGCGGTTAACGAATACAGCAAGTGAGAACCAACAAATAATAAGGGTTTGATACTTTGATTTCACGAGTTTTTTTTTCTTCGTTGAATCAGTTTCTCTTATTAATGCGAAAAAGGAAACCAATACAGCTAAGACAAAGCCCTGAGACTCTGTGTCAGAACATACCACAACTATACTCTACTTTGCACTTATCTATAGCAGCTACCAACCAAAACTTCCAAAACAGAAAATCAAAACAATAAGTACTGTTAAAGATACCCCAAATGTGCTAGGTCTCCTTGCAGCATAGCATTTCCAGCAACTAAGTACTGTAAATCTGCTTGCAGCTGGGCAACAACTTTCTCAGGATCCGGTCTTGTGCCACCATGAACAACTTTGCAGCGCTCTCTCCATATATAAGTCAGCACCATACACCACATAACCTCGTGCCAACTCGCATTTCCTGAGGGCCGAACCACATAGCTTGATATAGCTAGCATTGTATCCCAATCCCCAGCATCAAACAATCTGCAATTTAAACTCGAGACAAGGCTGCTAGAAAAGGAACAGTGCAGGAAAAGATGTTCTCTTGACTCCATTGGAAATGTACACAATGGACAAGAAGCAATCGTCAACTTCCGCCAGCTTAGTAGCTTATCCTTCGTCACAATAGCATTCCTCACGATAAGCCATGCAATAAAACTATAACGAGGGGGACATAACTTACTCCATACGATCTTAAACCAAGGAACCTTTGATGGCTTTGCATGCAAAGACTCCAAAACCCGTCGAACAGAATATACAGGCATCAGCTTTGCTCCCCAATAGATTTCACCATCCCTCTGATGTATCCATGGCCTTAGCTTATCTCTTGTTTCGAGTAATCTCCTCCAGGTCCAGGAACTGCTGTACTGAGATTTCATCGACCATAAATCACCCTGTTTGCATTTATACTCATACATCCATGCTACCCAGAGAGTCCTAGATTAAAGAAGAAACAACCATAACATTCTAGCAGTGCTAGTTAAGTTTCAAGCTTGAAGATCTTTAACCCCCAGTCCTCCTTCTTTCTTCGGAAACGCTAGCTTCTCCCAAGCAATCTTTGCCCTCCCCTCATCAATGCCATGCCACAGAAACTAGGAGCAGACCTTTTGCACCTGTTTGAGTACGTTTTTGGGGAGAACAAAAAGTTGCATCCAAAACTGCACTATCCCCATCAAGACAGAGTTTAATAATTGCAATCGACCCGCATAAGAGAGCTTTTAAGCTCGCCAAGATTTTATTCTTATGGTGATTCAGTCAACCCGTATATCCACCCGGCACCTCTGTTGTAGACAACTTTCTAGTGATCAATGGCAAACCTAAGTAACGAACAGGAAGCTTACCTTCCTGGAATCCAGAAAGCGTAAGAGCATTTGATTTGTACTTAATAGAGTCCCCTCCAAAGTAGACTTCACATTTGGATGAATTGCATTGAAGACCAGAAATACCATAAAACTGATGCAACACCTGTTTAACCTGAAGAATGGCTTGAGTTGACCCCTCTGTAAAGACAATGATGTCATCAGAAAAGCACATGTGATTCAATGCCACCCTTTTGCACTATGGATGAAAAGGGATTCTCCCTTCCTGACCAGCCCTCCTCAACAAAGTAGAGAGTCCTTCCATAGCTATTGTAAAAAAGTATGGCAAAAGGGGGTCACCCTGTCTAATCCCCTTCCTAGCTTGAAAGTAGCCACAAAGACTACCATTGACATTTATGCTATAATGTGCAGTTTGAATGCAACATTTAATCCATTTCAAGAATTGCTCAGGGAAGCCCATAGCATTCATCATAAGGAACAGATAGTTCCAATTCACAGAGTCGAAAGCTTTCATTATGTCAATTTTGATAGCATATCTAGATGAAATCCCCTGTCTATGATACCCACTAACAAGCTCTTGAGCTAGCAGGATATTATCCATAATGCTTCTGCCTTTAATGAATGCTGATTGTGAGGGACTAATAATAGTTGGCAAAACTTCCTTAAGTCGATTTGAAAGAATTTTAGCCACAATCTTATATAATAGGTTCACACAAGATATAGGTCTATAGCTCTTAAGTGTATCTGCAGTTGGTATCTTAGGAATTAATGAAACCGCCGTGGAATTTACACCACTAGGAAGTTTACCTTGCTGGAAGAAATCAAGGATCCCTTTGATGACATCCTCTCCAATTATATGCCACGTTCGCTTATAGAACCCAGCTGAGAAGCCATCTAGCCCTGGGGCCTTCTGAGGATTCATCCCAAAGACAACTCGCCTGATCTCCTCAGCGTTGACAGGTTGAACAAGAAGATCCCTCCCCTCATTCGTGATTTTACTTATGACCAGAGTTGCTAACTCTTCACTACTAGGATTAATATCTGGATTAACCTCACCCAAGAGCCTTTTATAATAGCTAATCACCTCCTCTATTATCTGATTTGACTGAACAAGCTCTTCCCCTGTTGTAGAAACCAGCTTTCGAATTGCCCTCTTTGAAGATCTTATTTTAACTGCTTGATGAAAGAATCCCGAGCTTTTATCTCCTAGATTTAGCCAAGACACTCTCGACTTCTGCCAACAGAAACTTTCATAGGCTACTTGGAGTTGAGCACATTCAGCTTGTAATTTGTTTACCTCAGCAAAGTGAGCCGAAGTAGGATCTGATAGGGCTAACATTTGGGCTTGCATTAGATTTGTTTTCGCGGCTTTAACCTAACCTTGTAAATCCCCATAGATATCCTTATTGAACTTTTTAAGGCCCTCTTGAACTCTTGCAGCTTACCCTGAACAATCTGTAGTGGAGACCCATTAAGATCCTTCTTCCAAGCTTTCTCTACTGTTTCCAAGAAAAGAGGATGTTCTGCCCAAAATTCAAAGTACTTGAAAGGCTTTGGTAGTGATTTTATTGGCACGTGTGTATAGACTTGAATACCACAGTGATTTGTGAAAGTTGATGGGTAA